TACGTTTTTTCTCCTCTTTGAACAGGGAATATGCTGTAGGGTTGTAGGCTCCAATAGGTGGCTTCAACTCGAAGGTGCTGAGGGGGCAGCCGTACCACCCGTTGCGGGGGATGCTGGCAAGGGCGACGCTACTGGTGACGGCCAGGAGGACGTTCACCACAAACAGCGCAGCCAAAGACATTAGACGCATCATGGAGCTAGATTGGAAATGGGAGACTCACGAAAAGTGTAGTTGTCCATCGTTTGAGCCAGGGCCATTATTGGGCTGGGTGTGTGAATTTGATGCTTGCAAGTGCAACTTAGAGAGAATTTACACTAGCTTTTCAAAAATCTACAATTACAAAATCCAGAATCTATAACTTCAACTTATCCACATGTCGCATACATTAGCATGCAATATTCCAAAGCATACAAAGTTTAAGTATAGCACTTGTAGTCGTGGCTCCAATTGTGTCTTCTTGCCAGAAGTTGTAGATTCTTGTGGACGCCCTAGATCAGGTATGCAAAAAAAAAATTCCAAATTGATGACGTCCACAATTGTAAGGGCTGGTCTGGATGCCACTTCATAAAATTATGCCATAAACCGTTTTGGCAAGTCTTCAAATTTTCCCCAAAGTCTGATATCGCATGAAAAAAAGGAGAAAAGAAGTATCTCCAACGTTGTCTGGATACCAGCTGAATTTTGGAAAAGTTATACTGTATTCGATTTCCGATTGAAGTGCAAGACTGCAACATGTTCACAAACCTCCATAAAATAGTTGGACCAAATCGGTCCATTTTTTTATGCCATAAAACACTCGATTCTCAAGAAAATTGTGGCATAAAGTAATGAACTTTGGTGGCATTCAGACGTACAAAACCTCGAAAAATGAAATATTTCGATTTTGCCAACTTTTCTTGGGAAAACGGCCATTTTATGCCATTTTTCGTGGCGTCCAGACCCGTAAAAAATTATATTAATATTGCTCATAGACCCACAATGAATAATTTTATTGCGGACGGGGAGATCACAATCAATAATTATTGGGTGCAATTTACAATTATTGCAATTGTTGCAATCGAAAAAAGTCGGACAAGGGTCCGACTCTACAATGATTGGCTCAAAATCGAATGAATCTTGTACACAACCTGACACGAAACAATGATGCGCATATGAATTCGATTTAGATACCTACGACTCTCGTCTACGCTTTCTAGCTAGGCGCGCAAACGTGACCATCTTCAACTGAGACAAGCGACGCTGTTGTCCCAGTTGAGTCTGTCCCCACAACGAAGGCAAGGCAGTCATAATGGTGCTGAAGGCAGCTATGA